TCTCCCAAGGAGTGTGCAGCAATGCTCGGAATCCGGGATGCGGCGTCCAGCAGTTCCAGTGTATCCGGCAGGCAGCAAGGTACCATCCAATCCTGCTTTGTGACAGTCAATGTACAGACGCTGTACCCGACTGATTCCCAACAAATACCGCAGTCAGGGACCACTGAGGACAGCTCCTTTACTGGCCGTGCGAGATATCTTAGGGAACAGCTCGATCGCCACGAAATTGCCGTGGCAGCCATGCAAGAGACGCGGGCGCCTCTCAGCGAGACCTACGTTTCAAGGACGCATGTGAGGTTCTGTAGTGCGAAATCTGCCGAGGGTGATTTCGGGGTGGAGTTATGGTTTTCTAGGTTGTGCCCCTTTGTCAAAGGTGACATTGAGCCTGTCTATTTTCACCCGGACGACTTTCTCGCCATCCACTGGAATCCGAGAATCCTCATTGTCAAATTTGCCCGAGGAACCCTACATGTCATTTTCGCGTGCATACACGCGCCGCGCAATGCAGACCCGGACCGAGACCCCTGGTGGGCTTCACTTTACGACACCTTGAGGAGAATCGGACAGGACTCGGACCTAGTCTTGTTAGGCGATTATAACCTGCACATCTTTGAAAGCCAGCCACCATTTGTCGGAGACCTTCTCTGTGCCAGGGGCCCACATGCTCCACCGGCTGCCTTCTGGCAATTACTCCGACATTTCGATGTTTGGTTGCCCTGCACACATAGTTCATGCCACGACGGTGATATACACACATGGCATCCCCCTGCGGGCGGCAAAGGGGCGAGACTGGACTATATTGCGATCCCCCGCAGTTGGCAAGTTCCGGCCGGGGCGAGCAGGTTATTACCGAACCTGGACTGGGGGCAGTCAAGGACTGACCATGTTGCAGTCCAGCTACGGGTCCTTGCCTACAAGACCATTCTTGGTGGAAAGGGACGGCGCGAGCCGCGCCTCAATGTAGCGGCTATGCGGACAGTTGAGGGCCGCAACACCCTCAGAGCTATTGCGCGCGATCTGCCCCTACAGCCATGGGACCTCGATGTCCACAGACACGCTGCGGCTGTTGAGGAGCATTTCCGTGGGCGACTTGCCCTTGCTTTCCCAACCCCCAAGAGTCAGTGCAGACGCACTTTCTTTAGTGCGGCCACTTGGCGCCTCAAGGGTCACCGTACATGGCTCCGCAAGCGCGTTCGTGCGTGTGCTGCCAGCCTTGTCTGCTTTGACCTTAGAGCCGCCTTTCTAGCGTGGTGTCAGGCTCGTCCACTCTCCACCATTGGCGCCTTGCTGTATGGACGTGCGATGTGGACGGTCAAGGACCTGCCCGTCTTTGTTGCTGAGTTAAGGGAGTCCAGCCGCGAATTACGGCTTGCAGTCCGACAAGATACGCGGTCGCATATCTCTGAGGTCGCTGAGGAAGCCAGTGCCAGCTCCACAAGGGACACTGTCCACAAGCTTCGTACCCTTACAGGGGGCCCTAAGAGGAAGTTGAGGGGAACCCCTCCACTCCCTGCGGTCGAACTGAAAGACGGTACACTTGCCTCCACCCCGCAGGAGGCTAAGGAGAGGTGGATCCAGCATTTCTCCGGGATAGAAGGGGGCCGCATTATTGGTCCGACTGAGCTCGTACACCAATGCTACAGGCGCCAGGCCCAAAAGGATTTGGATAGTCACAACCTCTCCTTGGCAGAGGTCCCCACCCGCACAGACCTTGAGCTTGCCCTACGTACCACCACCACAGACCGTGCCTACGGCCTCGACTCCATACCGGGAGAACTTCTCCACTACTGTGCTGGAGAACTTTCGGCTGTCCTGTTCCAGCTGCAGCTTAAGTCCACCTTGCGTCTGGTCGAACCCATCCAGTACAAAGGTGGCACCCTCCACTGTGTCTACAAGAATAAGGGACCGAGACAGAGTTGTTCGTCCTTCAGAGGGATCCTGGTCGCCTCGACTGTAGGAAAGGCGATGCACAAAGTCATGAGGAGGTGCAGTACGGATGCCTTAACTACAGCGGCAGTTTCATTGCAAGTTGGCGGACTGCCAGGTTTTCCTGTCACGGTGCCGGCGCATGCCACCAGGCTTTTTCAGTCAGGCTGCGCTGCCCTTAAGGCGAATTGCGCTGTGCTCTTCTTGGATCTCCAGGAAGCGTTTTATCGCATTGCAAGGGAGGTTGTTACCGGAGAGGATGTGACAGATGTCGAGGCAGCAAGGCTTTGCCGTTTGGTCAACCTACCGCCGGGTGTCTGTCACGAGTTACACGCTCACCTGCGCCAGCAGCCACTGCTGAGGTCAGCTGGAGCGAGCTCATGGGCGACAGAAGCGGTTGCCGAATCGCTGCATGACACGTGGTTCAGATTCACGAATGAACCGGAGATTGTGCAGACGGACATCGGATCTCGACCGGGGGATTCCCTGTCGGACCTTGTGTTCTCTTTTCTGTTCGCTAAGATCCTTCATAGAGTCCAAGCTGCCCTTTCCGAACAGGGCCACCAGACTGAGATCCCGTGGGACGATGCAATGTCTGGGAGAATTACTCCCCTTGCCACCCCTCCTTCATCGACGATCCGTCTGTTGAGTTCCACTTGGATGGATGATTTGTCTATGCTTCTGACCGCGAGTGACGCTCCGGCATTGCATGAGCGATTGTCCAACGGAGCCAGGTGTCTCATTGATGCTTGTCTTTCACATGCATTGTTACCGAACCTCGGCTCCGGGAAGACAGAGGCACTCACTACGTTCAGGGCAGCTGGTGCCAAAAGAATCCGACACCAGGTTTTCCATGCGCACTCTGGCACCATTCCCCTTGGCTGTCGACTGTGGCCTGATGCTGCCCTCAGGGTCACCCCCACCTACCGCCATTTGGGTGGGATTCTTGACCACCGATGCCGGCTTGACCGTGAAGTACGGCACAGGGTCGCCCTAGCATGGTCCGCTTTTAATGCCAAAAAGCGGCACATCTTTAGGTCACCCACCGTGAAATGGGCAGATAAGACGACGATCTTTGATGCCCTGGTAGTTTCTGTAATGTTTTACGGCTCTGGTACTTGGACAGGTATATCTGAAGCCCACCGCATTACGCTTACCACTGCCCTTCGTGGTATGGCTTGTCAAATGGTGTATCCCCAGTATAGTAGAGAGGATGCCTGGCACCTCGGCACAGAGCGGCTCCTTGCTGTCCTGGGGCTCCCCACGGTTGAGTCCTACCTCCATATCCACCGGCTGCGATACATCCTTTCATGCCTCACCTGCCACACCAAAGAAATATGGGCTCTTGCCCATTGGGAACGCCACTGGTTGATCAGTGTCAGGGAATCTGTCTCCTGGCTTTGGGACCTCGTCGCGGATGGTGCGGCATATCGCACTGCGGATGATGCTTGGGAGGCATGGGCCGCTGAGGCCAGAGTCTCTCCTGGCAAATGGAAAGGTCGGATCCGGAGAGCGCAGCGTCATGCTGTACATCGAGAGGCCGTCCGTGCACTCATCCTGCAGCACCAAGGGCTACTGGTCAAAAGTCTGAAGGCCATCGGGGCCACGAAAGATGACGACCTTGCAACAGAGGCTCGTCGAGCTGAATGTTGTGCCTGTTGCCAACAGCGCTTCACCGACCTCCGCTCGTGGTCGGTTCATGCGTTCAAGACACACGGTCGGCGGGAGGAAGTACGCCGCTTAGCAGAAGGAACCCAGTGTGCGATCTGCCTGCACCACTTCACGTCCAATGTTAAGCTGTGTCGACATATACGGTACAGCCGACAATGCCGACTACAGTTACTTGCCAGTGGTGTCCAGGCACCGACTAGACCAGGGCAGGGCAGCCGAAAGGCTACTGACGATGGGCTCCTTCTTGCACCTGCGACTAGAGCCGAGGGACCATGCCCCAGACGGCTGCTCTGTGACATCGATGATGAACCGCAACGCCCTGCTGCTGAGGTTCTTGACTGCTTGGACCATCTCGACTACGATGGCACAATTTTAGAAGCATCTGATGCAGTTGTGTGGGAGCGTATTCGGCTCTCCTTTTCCTGTGTCTGCCTACAGGACACTCGGCTTCGGGCCACTGCTAGGGCGTGGCAGCATCGACTCACCGCAGCCCCCCCACCCCAGCCTGGAGTTCGGGACAGGCTGCTCTCCGCTGCAGCGTGGGTCTGTTCGGCTGATTTTGCCGACTGGCTTGTGCCCGACCCTAAGAAGATTAATTACCAGCCTGACCCCTACCGGCATTGCACTTCCACACTTTCGATCCTGGACTTCAGTCGACTTTGTTTGCCTGATCCAGCCCGGTGGACTTCCGACTCTGTCCTGATTCAGGTTGGGCCGATTTTCACCCGTGTTCAAGATGCAGTGCCTCCCACTCAGGTCATTTCCTTTCCGCACAGTGCACTGCTCCCCGAAGGAGAGCCAGTCGACTTCTGGAATGACATTGATGAAACGTGTGGCTACATTTTGTCCACCCTCGGACTACCGAATACCGGTTCTCTGAGGAAACATGAGGCCCCATGCCACGAGGGACTAAAGCGAGAACTGTGCCTGGCCGGGGATGTCAAGCGCTACGCACTTCACCTCTGGTCCAGAGGGGTCCTCGCCTGTCTCGTTGCCGAGCCAGACCCAAGTCCGGATACTTCTGTTCTGCGTCGCCTTCCCGGTATACGCTGTGCCCATTTCGACGACTCGCTTGTGCTGTGGAATGGGCCTTCTGAGAGGGCTGAACACATTTTCCGGCAAGTTTAATTAATGCAAGCCGAAAGGGGCTGCGTCGCACCGACCCATTGCCCGAAACACGAGAAACACGAGAGTGTATGTGTATTCACGTGACAGTAGACACACATACTTGCATCAGTGTAAGATGCTGCGCTAGAAGTATATGCGATTCAGACATGACGGGTTTTCAGCGGTTACTTTCGGCTGCACATAAGACCATGTCAAGTCTCTGCAAAAGGCAGGGCAGGGTTTGAACGAGTCAACGCATTCACCAGTGCCAACATGTGGCAAATTTGACCTTCCAGGCCAGCAGCCGACTCTTTCCATTTCTCGCAGCGATGGCCGCCAGCTGCGCGTGCAGGGTCAGAGGGAGAACAGAAGCCAAGCAGCAGGCAGTGTGCGTGAGTTTGTTTTGCCGTTTTGTCCCTTGCCCTGCCCTGGACAACTCTGAGCCCCACTTCGAGCCAAGGCACGATCTACTTCAAGTGGCTTAGCGGTGCAGCCTCCTCCACTTTTGGCATCCCTTTTGCACCTGAGAGCCCGAGCGTCACAGACAAGCTGCTGAGTCATGGAGCGAAGCAATTGCAAAAGGGTTGGACGCCGAAGCTCAGGACACGAACTTATCCACATCAAGCAAGTGGCTTGCCTGAAGCAGGTCCCAAAGTTCGCCGCTGTCTTCTGACTCGTGCTGCAAATTCCCAAACCTGTGCCAACAGCACAAAATCCGAAGCAGGAAAGCTTCCAGCTTGAACTCACGAGGGTGCGACGACTCTCGCCGACGTCTTTGGCGTGTCTTCGGAGGCAGTGCTGCAGCAAGGTGCGCCTCTGAGTCCTAGGATTTGGGTTTTTGGCCTTCAAGGTTTTATTCGTCGAAGTGATCGCCTATACAGGGCCTGCAGATTATCGGCCGGCTCGATTAACCATCTCGGCGGAATCTGCTTCGGTTTGAATTAGGTGCGACTAGACTTCACCACCTCATCAGAAGGGAGATCATGTGACGATGGCTGGACCACGTAGCGGGCGAGTGGCAGTGCCTGCTGGGTATTCGTAGGGGAATAGCATCAGGCGTGGACAACGCCCTCTGCACCGTCGGCGTGGATTCACCGCATGAAGAACAGAGAAAGCCGATTGCTGAGTCTGCCCTAATCCTGAGCTGCCCCGAAGTTTGAAGAGATACATGCCACATTGTATCGTCGCGACTTCATCGAGGCTCTGCACTTGGCAAGGTGAAGGACTTGAGGTGGAGATTCCGAGCAGCACCGGCTGGACCTTGTGGGCTGTGTCTTCCAGCATCTTGTCCTAAGCCTTGCAAGCCGAAGACATGGAGCATGAGAAGTCGAGACCTTCCCACACTAGGCTGTGCTGCAAAGCTCGAAGGCCCTGGTCTCCCCTCCTCTATGCCTGCAGCGCTCAGCGTGGGTCCGCAGTGTGGGGCCCCTGCCGGTGTTGCCTTCGCAATGCTGCTCGTCAGCACTGGTTCGGCGAGAGCCGTCCAGCGACGCCCCCAACCCACTAATGTCACTAATGGCAACAGGAACTGGGCGCCGATCGAAGCATCGCACTGTTGCTGTCTGCAGACCTGTTCTGCATGCTTGCTCAGGGCTCCGAGCTGCAGCAGTGGGCAGATGATCGAGAGTGGACAAAACTGCACGACCAGTTGTGAGCAAGGCGGGCCAACGCCCGGACTCCAGACGTACACAGGTCGATGTCAAGAGGAGATTCTCCTTCTCTGTGCTTGCAGGTATTGGGTCAGCATATTTCGGTTCCCCACTGATGTTCATGAGTTGACATGGGTCTGCGCATTGGGTTTGAAGCACCGGCCTTGGTCTTCCGAGGAAACGAATCACACTCTCGATGATCCCGCAGTGTCGTAGCATGTCCGCCAAGATAACCCAACCCAGCAGATTTTCTACTGGTAGCACGTCCAACGCGTGACATCGATATCATGACATTGAAAGCTTCATATTCAGTTCAACAACTGCTACATCGTGCGGATGATTAAGTAGCAGGGTCATAGAGAGGTGCGAGCTCGGTCGGTGCGGAATGCTACTTGCAGTGATTTCCGGGATGTCAAGATGAAGAGAGGCCCCCGCTTCTGCAGGCTACCAGCCCTCCGTGTCAACCTTGCGGTGTTCCGATGGCGTCCTTACCCCTCTGCAGTTTGTCTGTCTGGAGCTTTCCTGCGAATCACCGTTCAACGCAGCTTGGCTGTATGATTCAGGGTAAATTCAGGTTCGCTGATGTTTTCGAGCTACTTTATGCCAGGGACAGGCCACACTGTGGCGGTCGTGATAGTTGCTACAGTCGTTCACGCTTGCGCGAAGGCGCAGCCCAAACCAATGCTTGCAGGGCTTAGTGATGGCTTGTACTCACTAGCTAAAGGGCTGCACTTGTGAGCGGAAGCCATTGCAGAATTTCAGTTGTTGCAGCCAATCCATAGTCACAGTCGTAAAGCAGGCGAGCCAGTAAAGGCCTAAGCAAGTCCGTGCATATAACTGTATGTCAATGTGTCTTTATGTCTATTGTCTGCTTGCCTGTATTACTATCTGTCTGTCTGCCTGCCTGGCTGTCTGTCTACCTGTCTGTCGGTCTATCTGTCTGTAGGTGTAGGTATGTACTTCCGTATGTATTTATGTGTGGATGTATGCATGTGCACACGTGTATACAGACGGGGTAGTGAGGCATGTGAGGCACACGTACATCATGCTTACATAGGTACAGACATGTTTTCAAGCATGCATACTTGCTTACTTCGTGGCTTTCTTGTTTGCTTGCTGGTTTGCTTGCTTGCTTGCTTGGTTGTGGCGGGCTTGCTTGTTTGCGTGCTCATGTTCATGCCTTCAGATGTGCATGCAGCACGTGTCGAAAGGTCGCGCATTCGTGGACTCTTGCCCGTGGTGTGGTTCCTTCAGCTTGGTCCGGCCTCCCCTGCGCAGTACAAATTCATTGACTGGCACGCGGATCGTTGCGCTGACACACGTCGCCTCGCTCCCCCCCATGGTTTGGGTGTTGGGTTCAGATCAGGTGCGAACGACATCCGCAAATTGCTACCGCAACAAGAACGTAAGAACCACAGTCGTGCAGATGACCACTTCGTGGTAGCCGGTTGTCATGTTCGAGATGTCAAGTTTGCCCTGCGTATCAAACAAGAAACTTGACACGATCAGGTTGAATTCCAATGAGGGTAGCGGCGACGATCACGCCCCCAAAAGGGCTCGATCCCTGCAGCCGTGGGAACTGAGGGAGGGACGGGGGACCAGTATCCGCACATGTCCGTATGTCGGTTTCTCTATCTGTCCGCCTGTCTCCCTCTCTCTCTCCGTCTCTCTGTTTCTCTGTCTGTCTGTCTGTCTGTCTAAAATGTATGTACAGTGGAATCCCTGTATAAGAACCCCATTCTGCGAGAGTAGCTGAATCTTCCAGCTGAGAAGCTGGGGTAGGCTGAGGTTCTTATCCATGTTCTTATTTAGACACAGCGTGTACCTTGAGCCAAAACTGCCGCGGTAGCCGCCCCTCCGGCAAAAACGAAATAGTGTCAGACACTAAGGCTTATGAGGCCAGGGTCTTTTCCACTCGGGTAAAGCGGCCTTTCCCAAAACCCGCCCTCGAGGCACGACGAAAAGACTGCACTTGCCCGGGGCAAAAACGAAGTAGATTCGTTTTGGGCTTTGCCCATCCTGCCCCCCTTCACCTCCGGCCACCCACCCCCCGCCCCCCCCCCACCCCCAAGCACGGCAAACGTGCTGCTTATCCTCAGAGATGCCGCCAAAAAGAGAACCCATGCCCGTACGGTTCTTATTCTCGGTGTTTTCACAACAAGCCAAGCCACGACGAAAGCACTTCCACCCAGCATAAAACAAGAACCTGACCCCGGAAGCTAGGGTACCCTAAGGTTCTTAATTTTTAAGCAACCTGAATTTTTTGAATCCCGTCGAAGGTAGGGGCTCAGGTTCTTAACAGTTGGTTCTTATACAGGACGTTCACTGTATCTACGTATGTACGTAATTGTACGTATATGTATGTATGTAGGTATGAATACGTATGTGCGTATGCATGCATGCATGTATGTATGTATGTATGTACGTATGTGTATATATATATATATAGGTGTGTGTGTGTGTGTGTGTGTGTGCGTGTGTGTGTGTGTGTGTGTGTGTGTGTGTGTGTGTGTGTGTGTGTGTTTTCGGGTAAAATCATTCACATCTACGCCGTTGCCTTTCAGTCTTAGATGTCCCGTTATGTGCATGGTCTGGTTGTTCTTGGCATCTTGTTTTGGGGGCTTGATCCCTTGGTCCAGGTCAGCTTCGGGGCCGAGCCTGCCTGCCTCGAGGGCGGATCCGTGTCTCCAGGTGCAAACGACCTGCTACTACCGCCGCTTCTGCCAACCAACAATTGAATCCTGCTCACTGCCGTCCGCGAGAATCAACATGGCATTAGGAAAAGTGTTTGCAAAAGCGGCGACAGACACCTCCTAATCTCACAGGAAGCCCAATCTGCTGGCTTCTTAAGACTTTTGGGCAGGTGGTCGCTGCACGCCGGCCTGCGAGGGAGGCTATGTGCCTTCCGAGGCCGTCTTGAGCTGCGCACGAGGCGGAATGTTTTCGCTTAAGCTCGCATGGCATGGAAACGTCATGACCAGTATGACAGGTTCCTCCAACCCTGCCCGTCAGAGTCTTGCTTGACCGTCCAGCATCACTGACATGGGCAAGCTCTATAGCACCGTTTGTAAGGCATTTCACAGCTTGACACCTGTTCAAAGTGTTGAAATGGATACGGGGAAGCCTGAAAATATCCCAAGCCCTGCCAACTTTGAGCCTGCTGCACTGGGGTGTTTCAGGTGATCTCAGTCCAGGCACCTTTCGGTGCGACGAAGCAGCTTGTGACGCGCCCAGCGACGTGCTCTATGCTGCAAGCTGCTTGGCACAATCTGTATGGTGGTTTGATCCTCTTGTGCAGCATGACGGCTTGGTGGAGAGGGATAACGTGTTTCTTTCTCATCCGTGTCGAACTATCTTAAGTTTGCTTTGCCCCACTCCTCCAGCCACAGAGACGTGACGACGTGACGAGACTTCCGGAATGAACCTGGGGCCAAGCTTTGTTGTGTAACGCACGTGTGCGTGTAGGAACAAGTTCTAGCGGTCGACAGACGAAGCCTTCGACTTGACCGCTTTTCGATTTCTATGTACCGTCCCTTCGCCTCTCGTCGCCTCGTGATGGCTTGTCGGACGCACCATCCCCGACCAACGGCGCGGGACCGGGCTCCGTCGCGTTCGACGTGGCGGAGGCCTCGGCTATGTTGGGCCACTACGACACTACGACGTCGCCTACAGCATTGGCCTGTTAACCCGGCTTCCCACAGATGGAGCTGCTTGGCGAGCCTGCTTTTTGCCGCCATGCTCGCCGTCTACAACGCCTCCTTCAGGCGGTTGGCAGATAAGGCTCCGGAAGTTGACACCGCTCATGAGTGCGGCAGCTCTTTGGATGCAGCGTCGGGCAGCCCATCGCCCGGGCCGTGGCTTGTTAGGTCGGGGAATGGGGTCAATCAGCGGCAGCGACCTCGAAGCCGTTGTGCGGTGGGTCCCGACCTGGAAACCAACTGTGGCCGCATGCACGTCGCCTATGAGCAGAGCGTGCCCACGCCCGAGAAGTCAAGGATCCTGTCACAAATCCCCGAGCCACGGCGCAGGAAGCCAACGCTTGGGATTATGTGCGCCCGGGCGTTGGTCAAAATGCCGAGGCCAGGAGCTCGACGAGCAACAAGAGGAGCTCCCTGGCGAGCATCTGGGTGGTACATCTGTGGCTGGGTTGAAACTCCAGCCCCAAAACAGCAACTAGCTGCGCCCGACCACCAAAACAGCACGCAGCCACAATGCCAGGAGCACCGCAAACTGGCAGTACGCGTTCCGGAGGTCGTGGCCGACCTCGGCGAGGCGTCCGTCGATATCGACTTCGGGCTCCTGCGAGGCTTCTCGACTTGGCACTCTGCCAGACTACATGCGTTGCCATGCCACTGACGCCTGTTCTGCATGTGCAATCGAGGGACACTGGGTATGACTGGTTTTGATGTGTTGAAATGCCACTGACGCATCTCGAGCGGGTGGGTGCTTGCGGATTCTAGTTTTATTCATGCTCCTCGCTTGTGTAGCCTCTCGTGAACTCAAGTCAACGCAGCAGTCCGCCCCCTCTCCTCCCCAGCTCTCGCCATGCAGCTGCCAGAAACAGGTCGGGAGCTCGGGCAACTTGGGGAGTGTGGGGACGGGGAGGGCTGCCCCTGCCGTCAGTGCTGCCGGTCCCTGCCCCCCGCCTCACCGGACCAGGCGCGGCACGGAAGCAGTCGAAGGAAGCTCCGCAACCGCGTGGCGGGCTTCTGTGGCAAGGCCCCGCATGCCTTGGGGGAGCTGACACCCAAGCTGGTGAAGTTATTGACGGCCATTTTGCTGGAGGCCAGTGTGCTGCACGGCATGGAGTCTGCTACAATGGTTGCCTCGTGTTGTCCCATGAAGAAGGCGCGGCGCCTCTACCCTCGGCCGCCGGCCGGCCTCGCCCGCCCAAACCTTCCACCAAGCGCCATGTCCCGCCTCCTCCACATGGACATGGTGATGGCCATGCAGGCCGGGCTCGACTAGGGGCGCGAAAGAATTGAGTGAGTGGGTGCATTACACGTCCCACACGGGCAAAGCGCAAACGACCAAGAAAGCTGTCGACCCCAACGGCACCACGAGAGATATGATGAGTGCCTCCTATGATGTCGCATGAGCCTGTTGACATGAATGCACCGTACGCAGGCCGCGCGCGAGAAGAAAAAGGAGGACAAGAAAGCGGAGGCTGCTGCAAGGCCAGAGCATGACTTGTGGCAGAGCCTAGACCAGAGTTCCTTGTCCAAACCCCAGGAAACAGGAGAAGAAGGCACATAAGAAGGAGAAGCATGCCCTGGACATGTCCGCAGCCAAGCAAGAGGGCTGAGAGGCGCTCGCAAAGGCGGTCCAGACTGTGAAAGTGCGCCGACACGGCACCAGTTTTCGGGGCCGGTGTGCCCGGACGGGCGCAGCTCGCGCTTCGACCAAAAAAAGGGGCAGTGCACTTTCTTGTTAAAGTTTGGTCAACGTGTCGTTCGCTTAGAACTTGTTGCATGTGCTGGCCATTCGAGGTCCTTCCTGTAGTGGCCTTTTGCGGGTGACTTCCCGCAGCAGTTGCACACCGCAGTGCCAGGACGGGCGGAATCTTCGGGGCCGTTTGGGTTTGGGATTTGCACAAGCCGCAAGGGCATTCATCGTTCCTCGAGGGTCCATACTGATCTGTGTGACAAGGACTCAAGTTGTTGTGTGTAGAAGTTTGTAAAAGAATCTTGCAACTCATACTGTGATGTAATGTTTTCGACTATCGGGCTGCTGATGGTCGCGAGGATGGATACTTGCCCAGTGAGACCAGTCTTCAGTGTATCCGTGGCCAACTGTCTCCTGCGACGTTCGCCTGCGAACCAGGCCCCTCTGTGGCGAATTGCTGCAGTGTGTGTGTGTGTGTGTGTGTGTGTGTTTGCAACAGTGAAGCAAGAAGGAAGAAGGTGCATGCTAGGCAGGTTGTGTGCTAGGCCGAAGCCGCGGAGTTGGCACTGAGCGTGTGTGGTTCCGGAATCGTTGCATGATGCGTTGTGCCTCTTATGGAGGTGTGACGGTAGACATGGGAATCATCATTGCAAGCGTGCCAAGTCACTTGGCAGCATCCATACTTGATAGATGTCAGTAGTGTAGACCTGATTTAGGCGAGCCAACTGCAACTCCTCGGATCTAATTCTTGCTAGGCCGGTGTGCCTGATGTGCAGTCCAGTCCGTCACCGAGTCTGTCCCTGCTGAACCCAGTGAGATTAGTGCCTTTCCGTTGGCCGTAAGCTTGGTCAGAGAAACCAGAATCCCAGCGCTGCTACCTCTGCCCAAGTCTTGCAAGCATTCGTTGTACCGTCACGCGAGTTTCCGAACGTCAGCGGCCGAAAATGTTGAACGTCACTATGAAAACGATTCTGCGCTGTTCGTCAAGTTATCTTAACCAGTGAACGAGGGAGCAACAACTGCAGAAGGCTTCGCCAGCTTGGCAAGAGAGAGCTGTGATACTTGCTCGGCAATGACGGGGAAACAAGCAGCCATGCTGCGTGTAATCGTCTCCGAGCACCAAGTTGCCTGCTCGAGATGGGATTACTCCTGAAGCTGAAGTACAAAGAGCTTTCAACTTCTCGGAAAGGTGAAACCATCTACAAAGACTGGAACTGCAGTTTTAACAGTGGTTGAAACATTCGGAGTGACTGGCAGTGAACGGTGTGTTCGGGTTTTGTTTAGGCACCATGCTTGCGGCTGCCCTGGCACTTCTGGCTGGGTACTGCGCCTGGAGCGGCCGCATCCCACCGAAGACCGTTGAGCCGCAACCTCAGGGTGTAGGATCTGCAGGATGTACTTGTGCGTTGCACAACCATGCCTAGCAAGAAACAGAGAATCTCTGCTCATGGAACAACAGATGAAGCAATCACCTCATCCAGATCTCGTTTCTAGGACTCTTCTGCAGAGACCTGTTCATTTTGCGTGCAGCAGTCGGGTTGTGGTGATTCTTGCACAGCCACGAGGCCATCGACTTGGCAGGTTTTGGTCTAATCTACAACTACAACTCTGCATGCCCAAGGCTGGACAGCGATCCGCTGCAGGAGTGGTGGACTTGCGTTCATGAGGCCGGTCATGGGCCACCTTGAGGTGCTGGTTCGGGTTGATGATAAGTGCAGCCCCAGTGCCAACGTTGCAGAAGCTGGCTCTGCACATACAGTACTTCGCACAAGAATCATCCGTGCCTGAAAGAGGTGGAGCCAGGCGTGTGCGTCTTCTGCGGAAAGCAGCCGGAGGAGGTTGAAACCAGGCGCAGACCGTCACTTCTTGAACCGTGGATGGTCCGAGAAGCCGAGTGCATCGCTCATGCAGGTACGAGGAACACGGGCCGGCTTCGCTTTTCAGGCGCAGCGGAGAGCCCTTTTTTCTTAGCTTATCGGAGTAGGTCCGAGTGCCGCTGCCCTGTATGAATCCTTCGCAGGTCTTGTCGCGCCTGTGCGACACTGCTTGGTTTTGAGGAAGAGGAGGAAGACGAGGAGCCGAATATGTTAAGAATACCGGCCTAGCCCTTCGCCACCGCGCAACTTGAAGAAAGGTGACGACGGGTTTGTCTTTAAAGTCTGTCAGTCGAGCAGTTGCATGAGGTATTCCGTATTCCAAGCTTCGAGCTGAGAGTCTTGCCAGGAGGAGGTGCCGGAAGATTCGGACCCTTCGGAGGCCTTTGTGGTGGCCGTCCCCGCAATCACCGAATAAAACTACAAGCGTGAGAGAGCATCTCTGCGAGAGCAGTGTGTAAAGTTTGTCAGGAAGAGTTCAGGGTGCAGTCCTTTCTTTGGCCTTTTGCAGTTGTCAGGCAGTGCACCCACCACAAGTGACAGTGGACACTTTGCCCCCAGAGAACGACCTCAAGCCGCTCACTAAGCGAGTCTGCATATAGCATCTCCGTGGGTTGGTCGGGATTCGCCCTTGCAAGATTTCGGCAAAAGGCAAGTGCGACAGCACTCCATGAAGTTAGCAGAACTCTTGCGCGTTGCAGCAGCCGCACTGGAGTCACCAGAGGTCCTCCTCCGAAGCCGCAGCAGGCTTTGAGAGTGAAGCTCTCAGCCATGCCGTGGAGCTGGGGCTTTCACCTTCAGGTTCGTGGTTTAGGGTTCAGGTTCAGGCTTAGTGTCTCGGGTCAAGATCAGCGGTGCTGGACAAGGCCAGAGTAGATCTTCTTGTGACAGTTGAAGGATCTTCGTAGCAGTGCCACTTTTTGGGTGCACTCCGATGAGGTTTTTCGTGCAGAGAGGTCCAGAGTCCACACCGAAGCTTGCATTTCCAAACCTCAAGCCCTTCGACCTCGACTGAATGTCTGAATGATTTCCCAAAATCCTCGCACCCGTACCATTCGCTCAGCAAGGATTGCGTTGATTTCTGGCTCCTAGGAGATCGGGAAGAGTTCAAGGATTCCTTGATTGGTTTTTGTTTCAGCTTGTTTTCCAAGAGGCTTCGCAAACGGTCAGTTGAGGCTCGGAACCTGAGGAGAAGCCACTTGTCTGCAAGACCCGGCATCTGCTGGCACGAGTCACTGCCAGCCCTGCGTCATCGGAGGATGAGGTTTTAGAGGTTTGGAGCAACATGCTTCGACGGTGCTGCCCGAAGTTGAGGGCGACGAGAGACCATGCATGTCAGTTTGTCCTGCCATCTGGTCAGAGTGCTGCACTGGTGGCAGTGCTGCAAAGCAGCCGGCAAGTCGACGTGACTCAGGACTCCGCCGAGCCTGCTTGCTGCCTCGCCCGGCTCGATCAGCCACTCGTCCTGCCTGTGCCTCCGGCTATCTCAGAGCCCAGAGCTCAAGTGAGCTGAGGTGATGCCGTGGCAGGACTCAAACTGGACGACTTGCTCAAAGACCAGGCCTCTGAGCCATTGAGCCATCGAGTGGCCGTTGTGGCCTGGTGTGCCTGGGTCCCTGGGCTTGGCGAGGCACGATCACTGGATGGATTGGACGGAGGCCACGAAGGAAGGCCCGCTGCCAAACGCGCTCGGAGTGGTGATCACCACCGGCTTTCCGAGATGCGTCCTGCGCAGATTAAGCCCAACTTTCGAGAGCGACCTGCTCAACCATTCAGATGCTCCTCAAATGTCCGAGAGGCATTCAGGCAGGGTGCAGAGTAATTCAGCATAAGGATTGAAACACGGTCCGTGCCTCGCATGTTTGTGATCACCTTCGTCAGACCGCGAACTTCGTGACGATGCTTCAGCACCACTACGCGGTGATCGCTTAAACACGAGGAGGGGCAGTCAACTTGTCAAGAGTTGAGAAAGGTTGAGAAGCACTTGGCAAAGTTTCCCCCTGAAGGAAGCGTGGAGAACTAGAAGCAGATGCACGACAAGAGACAGGGACTGCCTGCAAAGACAAACGTGGTAGGCTTGTCACTTGTCTTGAGCCGGACTGTCGAACTCTAGATTGGTTTCAGGACGCCACGTCGCTCCGACTTCGGACGAGGCGTGCTGCCCGCGTAGAGCAAAGGCCCAGAATCCCAGGTCAAGGCACGACTTAGTCCAACGAGAGATGTGAAGCGCAGGCTTGCAGCCTTTTTCTAGCAGCTCCGACTTGCCTTTTCAAAGCCGGTTCCCTGCCTTCGGCTGAATCGCCAGGCCAAGACTTTGGCCGTCTCTCCAAACGGGAAGCAGAGTCAAGGAACTCACTCGATTCCATTCTGCAGACAGGGCTACAGCGCGTTTAAGGGAGGCTTGTGACAGAAGTTTGAGCTGGATGTCAGCTGAGGATCGCGGCAGCTTTGGAGCCAGGGATGCGCGAGATGCTGGGCTCCCTCCGACCCTTCCCAGGCGTGATTGCTAACTTCTAGGTGCGCGCCCCATTGGCGCCCGTGGTACGGGAGGCACTTCCCAGACTGTTCAAATGCTGAAAACCATGGCAGGGGCGATAAATTCGTAGCTCAGGGATTTTGAGGGCTAGAACAGGGCTTTTAAGAACCCGGAAGTAGTTTGGGCCATCCAGCAACAACAACATCACCGTCACGATCGTCAGCCTCATCATCATCATCACCACCATCATCATCACTGTGACACTGACACCACTACCAGCATCACTGTCGAATCTTGCGCCACGTGGTCACCATCGTTTATTGCGGGTCTGCGCGACACAAGTCTCGTCCATTTTGCCACTGCGCTGTCCCAAGCCAGTGTGACTTCGAAGCCGTTGGCGCAAAGTTTTAAGAGTCCCAAGCTTGAGTGGGCCCCACCGGGAAGCCGCGAAGACGACGTTACGTTCATTATGTATGTACGCAATGCTACTGTTCGAGTACTGATTTCTAAGTGGGGAAGGACTACGTGCTAACCAGGACGAGTTAGGAACAACATAGAACGCAACATAAAAATCCTAGTGAAGATTTTAAGACGTCATTCCGCCCCCACCCCCAAGCCAAAAACCCAGAGCAAAACCTCTGAAGCCAAAAAAGCAGAAATTTGTGACCCCTTCAAAAAGTCCTGAAATTCCGAAGTGCCCGAAGTAACGAAACCCTCGCAAATACCGAGTCCAAAATGGCCAAAAGTGGAGAATAACCCACGGGCGCGAACGGGGCGCGGTCCAACTACTTGCTACCACTTGCTACTAGTTACGAGATTGGGTTGCTGGTTGTGCCCTATCCTGTGGCCAGGCCAAGCCAGCGCAGACGTGTTGCTTGACTCAAGCACAGCAGTGGCGAACCCTGCAATCACTACGACCTGAAGACTTGCGACATCGTAAGAGGGTTTAGCTGAGTCAGTCATACGTCTGGAGAAGGTGCGATCAGCGAGGTTGCGATTGTATTGGGGCAATCGCGTTTGCAAGGACTCCTCATCCCGCTACACAGCCGACTATCGAAGGGCCACAGCAGAGGCAGCCCGGAGTCGATTCTTGCTCAGAGATGCTCCCGGCTACTCGAAGCGTGGCTCTCCAGGAGGCACCTTCGGCGGTTCCTGACCGGCGCGATGAGCGACTTGAGGTTGGGCTCGCAGTTCGATGCAAGCTGGCACCACCAGCCCGAACCGGTCCGATCGTGAAGCAAGGCGCCATAGATTACATCGGCAGGACTGGGATGCCACACGCCAGCGCACTCGCCGCACGAGGCAGCGAAGGGGCAGATGGCACTTTCTCGGTGCTCATGCTGTGCGTCGCTGTAGACCCAAAGATATGAATTCTGTTGATGATGCAAGGGAGAACCGACGGAGCCTCTTCGCAGATCCGGCACAGCGCTCAGTCAGGTGCAAATAGAGTTCTCGCATAGCAGAGCTCCCTTCTCCAGGATGTTGCACCCCCCGAGCAGCGCTGGGACAAGTCCGCGACGCGTGAAACGCATGTGGATGAGGCTTGGCTTCCTGAGTGACCTTTACCCGTCAACTAGTTACTAGTCACGTGGCTGCCAAGGACAGGCGCAGAGCACCTCGCGAGTCGACAGGTCGCTCGGCGCCTACTCGTACCTCAGGAGCCGAGGGGCTTCGTTGTTGTAAGGTTGGTCCATGAATGTTGTTGGGGTATAGGTTCAGGCCTACGCAAGTCTACCCTCAGCCGTAAACACGATGACTCGAATTCGAATCTCGCCTTCTTGCTCCGAGCAGCAGAACATGTTTTTATCTTGAGGGACGTCATTCCCCCCCGTTGTGAGACGAGGACATGATGCGATGCCGCGACCTTCGCTACACAGTCCACACCTCGGCTTGTCAGACGCGCGGAGTCCGTGTTGGCGGTGGGAAGCAGAGGCAGTCATACTCAGGACCCGAAAGACAAGAAAGAACTCGGGAGGCACGGCGAAGCTGGAAGCTGAGGCATCAAGCAAGAGCTGGCACCCTTCAGCAGGGCTACTGGATGCTACTGCAAGGCATACAGGATTCTTGGGCAATCGTTTGCGGATGTGAGGTGAGGCCACAGCTCACATGCGCGCTGAGGTCAAGCGAGGAGCGGCGACCGTGCCCTAACCTGCATCATGTTCTTTTCTGGTCTTGCTAGTTTTCTGGCAGACATTACGACCTCACGTTATGCTGGGGAGTGTTGTCCTGAGTCAGGTTCTCAGCGCAGCTTTTACGAATGATGCCGAACGACTTTGAGCCAGTTTTCTCTGGCGGACTGCGGTCTGCCAGCCAACGTCTAGCGCATGCAAGAGCATTGGCATAGTGTGTTCTTCGATGAGTTTCTCTGTCGGCACGAGTCTGGGTACAAGATGCTCTTGCATGCCTTCGAATTCCATTGCTTTTTCATGTTGGTTACATTGGTGCAGAGAATCTCAGACAGTGATCTGCAGGCTCAGGCAAGGTCGGGGAGCATTCGAAAGCTTCAGGGAGCCTTGGGACACTCAGGCTTTGTACCCAGCATACCATGCACGATGAATTCAGGACGGCAAGGCTTGGCCCAGGAACGTCTGTAAACAGAGCTTCGCAAAGAAAACGCGCGAGTTCCAGGCCCAGGTCTGCCAAATTTCCCCATGAGTCTCCTTCTCCCATGAGGCAGCACACCTCGCAAAGAGGACGGCCAGTCTCAGAGTGTCCGCAGTCTTAGCTGCACTGTGTACAGCGGCATATTGCTTGAAGATCAGGCAGGCCTTCTCCGGATCTCACGGTGGTTCTGCCCGTCAGACAAGCGCCCCATCGCTGTCTCTGCAACTATTGCAGGGCACCACCCAGAACCACCGTGTTGTTAATTCAGATGCGTGGTACAGTTAGGACATTGCATTTGCAGCGGTGTGCAGTATTCTTCTGAGAGCTTTCGAGATTGTGACTGTATTGCAGACTTTCGGCAGACGCATCTTCGCCATGACTGCACGGCGCACCATGAGAGCGCGCACATGCTCTTGTGTCAATACCCGTTTCTCTTCCAAAGGTTGAACCCAAAGTACCGTCAGCTTTGCCAACGATTAGGCCGGCCTTTGAGCTGCGTGCTGCAGGAATCTCATCTGGGTTTGAGTGATCCGGGTCTTCTGGTGATGTCGGCGTGAGGCTTGGACAGCGATAGCGAGGATGAAGTGCAAGTCTGAAGCTCAGCAAAAGAACAAGACTGGAGAAGGCATTTGCAACTTTCGTGATGCACTTGTTGACACATGGCAGCAAGTTCAAGCTGATTAAGTTCAATGAAGTGGGATGCTAGGAGGTGACGGCGGCCGCCTGAGAAGTGATCGAAGGCCGCGCGCACATGCGATGCAAAGCTCATCGAACACGCCAGCAGAAAAGCAAATTTGTTATCCAGTAGGGCAGATGGAGCAGAACAGCGCGACACCACCGGGACCGGGAGCTTGCACCCGGGATTGTCCAGATTGAATCAGGAGCAATGCTTTGCCTTTTGTTGGGTTTGCGAAATAGTTTGCTCGAGTAAGGAAAGAGCAGTGCTGTATGCCTCCAGCTTTTTGATTTGTGACTTGGCTTTTGCGATCTGGCCCAAAGTCACGTCCCGCCAGCTGCGGTGGAGACTCGTGCAGGCGTGTCGAGGGGCGCAGCTGAGAGACTGCTTCCGAGAGCAGGCGTTCGCCACAAAAGCCGAGAGACTTTAGAGTTGGCAGGCCTCCTGGCCAATGGCCTCCGAAGAGCAGAGGTGCATCCTGGGGACTTGAAGCCCCTGATGTGGAGTAAACGAGCTTGAGACTCAATTCGACTCTTCTCTGCAGGCCGGCTGAGGAGCCTGGCAAGAGCAGCGTTCTGGAATCCACCGGAAAGCTCGGAAGCTCGGAAGTCGCAGCTGTAGTTCTGCAGTGAGCCGCTGTCCTGCCTAAGCTTTGGGGCATCCGGCATCGAGCATCGTGGAGGCCTTTGAAGCACTATTGCAGCCCATTCAGGTCTGTCCTGGCAGACGGAGCTCAAACGGCCCGCGGAACCGAACCAAGGTCAGCTTCTCAGAGTGAATGCACTGTGTTGTGGCTACAAAGGGCTCTGGGTAGTCGCATGTCTTGGGGATGAGATGAGGAAGGCTATATGAGTTTAGGACTCACATGATGAGCCTATGCGATGTATTTGTAGACTTTCGGGCAGGTATGGCCGCTCGGCCTACTCTGGTGGCGAGGATCCCGGAGACCGGCACGAGAAACTGCGTGCGGAAGCGGAGGTGCGCTGGGGTGGCTTCCTGTGTATTTATGTTGGGCTGATGACTGTCCTTGCTCCAAGCAAATTGCAAAACCGCAACGAGGGTAGACAATCTGATTGCAACCACTGCTTGCTGTGTGAGATTCGCAGAGAACCGGCTGAGGCTCGCTTCTTCGACTCGCCATTCGAAGCCGATCGGGTGTCGGCCTTGCGTGTGAGGCTCAGGGCATCCATCCCTTTTCACCCTTTCGCCTGTGCAGTCTGCAAGTCCGATGCATGGTGTAAAGACCGACTTCTGAAACAATGCCTGGCCTGGGCTGATCTCAGTTACTTGGTACACTGGCTCAGTACTGGAAGGATAGCAGTGCTAATCCGATGTTGACATGACATGCGCCCCTCTCCCATTGTAAGCTGTTTTAGCTTGGCATGCACGAAAACCCACACAAATGACATTCGGATACCGGTTCGAAGGCATGCCGAGTAGTACTGCAGGGATGGGTCGGCGACGATGAAAGCCGCAAAACCATAATCAAATGACGGGCTGTGACATTCTTTCAGAGAGGCCGGGGATAAGATTTGGGATGAACGATGAGCTGCTCTTGAGTGGCAAGCTTTCGGCATGAATCCAGTGTGTTATTCACAGCTCTGCTTTGGAACAAGCCCGAGGTCACAAATTTCCGCGCAAGAAGGCTTGCACTGCCGTGTGGATTTTCATTGCTTCTTCCTTGATGCACTCTCAGAGATTCTACGGAACATCCTCCCGGCGATGAAGAAACATCTGCAAGTTTCAAGCAGCACCTGGAAGGACGGACCTCGCTCAGGTCGACGGCCGAGCGGTGAGGTGCGACACTTCTTTACACTGACATGTGACATGGATGAGAGGTGCTGCATCTGACATGTTTCCCACATCAACCACCATCGGCTGGGTTGTTGCAATGCACACTCATACTCCCACAAGGGGTCGGTCCCATCGCGCTTGTACAAAGTGATGGTGGTGGAGCCTGATAGGGGCAATTGGCGGTGGAGCTTGGTTGCGTGTGTCGTCGTCGTCGTCGTTGTGGTGGACGTCGAGAGTGCGGGTAGAAGTAAGAGTGAGACGTTAGTGGCTATTCGCCGTTGGAGTGCTGGATGTTGATGTGGTAGTGGTGAACTGAGTCGGTCTAGCAGTGTCCTCGTCACCGATGGAACAGTATAATACTGTCCTCCTGCTTTGTTCAGTGGTCGTGGCATCATCATCGGAGCAGCAGCAGTAGCAGTAGCCAGAGCAGCAATCGTAGTCGTAGTCGTGGTCGTTGTCGGGGTCGTCGTCATCGTATTCGTACTTGTAGGGGGTCGCGGTCGACGTCAGCCTCTTCATCCCAGTCCTTGTCCCAGTCGGAGTCTACGTGCGAGTCCTAGTCCATGTCCGAGTCCTAGTCGTCGGGTTTGTGGTCGTGGCCGTCGTCGTCTTCGTCGGGTTCACAGTAGCAGTGTCAGTGGCAGTGGCAGTCGTAGTCGTAGTCGCAGTCGCAGCAGCAACACTAACAGCAGGAGCAGGAGCAGGAGCAGGAGCAGGAGCAGGAGCAGGAGCAGGAGCAGGAGCAGGAGCAGGAGCAGGAGCAGGAGCAGGAGCAGGAGCAGGAGCAGGAGCAGTAGCAGTAGTAGTAGCAGCAGTAGTAGTAGTAGTAGTAGTAGTAGTAGTAGTAGTAGTAGTAGTAGTAGTAGTAGTAGTACAATTATTATTATTATTATTATTATTAGTAGTAGTAGTCGTGGTAATAGCAGTGGTAGTAGTAGTAGTGGTAGTAGTAGGAGGAGAAGCAGAAGTAGAAGTAGAAGTGCGCTGCTAGCAAAGAGAGTGGCGCCGTGGACAAAGTCTTCAATGCTGGTAAAGGGCCCTCAGAACTGTCGCAGTAACCACGCTTCAATTACGGCCAGAGCACTGTTCACGGGAAAGCGCGAAGAATGTGCAGCGACGTATCAGCATCTTTAGGCTTCGTGTTGGCATCTTCAAGGGGTCGTTTCTGGCTTGCGAGCTTGCGTGCAGACCTCGGAAGAGGAGGAACCCGTCCGACGGTCTCCACCTGAGTCTGAAAGTTGGCGACATTCACAGCCTTGGCTGCAATGCCTGATGAGAGCCCTGCTTGCTGCGCTACCCTTAACACTTCACATTCCAGGTGTTGTTGTGTAACTAGCTGGTACAAAGTGAGCCAGCGTGGCAAGGGCTTTTGCATTCAGCGATCAGCAAGCATTCTGCAAAGGGCCGACCACAGCAGTGGAACATGCGACATTTCACACACGAGCCCGTTCACCATCTCGCGATACTCTGGTGAATCGACTGTTTGCCCCGAGGAGAATAGCCGGCTTCCGTTTGGGATTCGAGAAAATCTTCAACACGACGTGCCCTGGCGAATTTATGCAGATCATACACCCCAGCTATACCTGAGTCGCTTGTCACAACCACTGACCGACCTCGGTGACGACTGCAGCCTCACTGAATTTAGTGGATGCCAGGTCCATCCGATTGCCGTGCTCTGCATACACCGTTTATGCCGAGCTGCGGTCGTCTCATACAAACGAGGCTCAGCATCGTGCGGCTGCATTTTACGAATGTAGCCGTGACGTGGATTTGAACCAATGTGAGCACGAAAGTTTGAGGCATTTTGCCGATGCTTCAACGGTCTACACACAGTGTACGACCTGAAGAAGTGGGTTGGTGCCTGAGACATAGCTCTGCTTGTAGGGACCAACCATCTACCCAGCGTCACTGCAACGCGACAGACAGGAGTTTATTGACCACCAACCCAATTTCCAAGGTTTACGAGAAGCTGATGCTGCCCATGAGTGCCTACGAGCTCTCCTATGCGGAGAGCGGGAAGGCAGACGGAGATAAAGCCAGGAAGTCTCTGGAAGGTCAGAATGATTGGTTTGAATGACGCGTGCAGCTTGAAAGAATGGTGGCAGACATCTTTCTCTCTGTGTTAGTGGTGAAAAGGATGGAAGAGGTTGTCATACTGCTGCGACTCACAATCAAGTTTAGGGATTTTTATGCACGGGGCGCCGCCTTACCTAAGCCAGAGACAATGGGAGAAGTCGAGTGGCATGCCTGTACACTGTAGGCATCGTCAGTCTACCGTTGTGCTTGAAAGGTGCAGCTGACAGACAACATGCGGCTGCTAACGACCCAGGACGTGTTGCGTTTTGCTGTTTTCGGTCCTTGCACCTTCCCGCGCACGGTTCGCTCTTGCATGCCCTGTGACGATTTGCCGCGGAAGGACTCTTTAGATTCTCGCTCCATGGCTACCATGCGAGTGTTGCAAGACATGCCGGGACCCAAGCCCGGCGACAAAGTCTACTCCGAAACACTTGATGCCGTGAAGCTGTCTTTTACATGAGTCCGAGGGCTCTGGGCCTTGCAGCCTTGCATACTAGGGATGGGATTCTAGTCTAGAGAGCTTGAAGTGCAGGGCGTCCCGTGCTCTCGCCACGACTTTGCGTAGACAGCTTCTTTCAGGGCAGCAGGCGTTCCTGGAGTTGCCAGCGGCCCAGAGCTTTGCGAGCTCCTGCGACATGTGAAGCATGTTGAATTTCAGAGCTTTTGGCCGTGCAGCGAACTTCCACCGCAAATGAAGAGCCAAGCCATCCACCCATGCATCATGTGCTACCCTTTGCCAGCATTCCATCGGCGACATCGGCGTGACGCGCCTGTATGTCAGGCGTTGTGCTGAAAGCCCATTTGCGTAAAGGTGCTGGAGCATTGCCTTTTGCACCACGATTGCTTTGCAAGCGGCACCAGCATGTTCCCTTCGAAAAGGATTGTAGCATATTGTAACGCAAAGGATACACGTGGTTCCGCATTGTTGGCAAACCTAGTGGTGGGGTTCCTGCGGCAGCAATCACCGGTTGTAGCTGAAGATAGCTGTTGGCGTGCAGCCATTAACCCCAAAGTATGGCGCAGTTCTCTGTGCCACTGTCATGGCTTGTCCAAGTTCTATAAAATCGCCAGAAACGCAACCAGGCTGAAGTGCCGAACCTGTGGCGACCTGCTGAACAGTCACTCCACGCGGCAGCCTTGATGATGATCTGCAGCAATGCTTGTGTGTTTTTGCTGACTGGCTGCGAGAAAGTAGTCCAACGGGCATGGGCCCAGTAGCCCACATGGCACGTCACTGAATGCACAGCCCTGCCGCTGTCGCTTTAACTATGCTGCAAGGTGCAGGAAGACCAAAGCTATGGGCTACATAGGCCTTGCGGTGTGATCATGTTGATGTGGTTCTCGGAACTCGGCTTTGTTGGGTCGCGGGTCGCGTACCAGCTGCAGGCCCTCCTTGACTCCCAGTGCTGCTTTGAATACTCGACTACCCAGACCGCTGGAAGGATCCAAAAGTAGATCCTCAAGGTGGTTCCCGTCGCGCACCCTTCGGTAGTATAGGGTCCCAAACTAGGGGATCTGCTGTTCGGATCCTTCCGGCGGTCTGGGTAGTCACGACGCAGATTTTTGCCAGAATTCAGACACTAAAAGTCGTTGCCAAAGACCGACTCCTGCAATCAAGCGTCGCTGAGCGTGTGTCTGACCTTTGCCAGAACCGGCCGTCAATGGGATGAAACCCGGCAACTCGAAGCCGTCATCATCCCACAGCCTGAAGACGCTCAAGTCGCAAAAGTCCATGATCTCGCCGCAGTCTTAGCTCTGCATGCAGCAGCACGGTGTATGCATCAGCAACAGACGCAGACGGCTGCCGTTTGCCAGAGGCAAGAAAAAATCATGCGAGGCGCCGAAGGCTGACCCGGGTCTTCGGAATGCTGCTGGTAACGCGAGAGATGGTCTCAGACTGTTAGACTCCTGTGTCGGAGAAGCGGAATCTTCGAGGTTTCTGTCCCAGAATTCCCAGAGTCAAGATTTTAAAACGGTTGCTCCAGAGGTCCATGAGTCAGAGTCCTGCAAGACCAGTCCTAGGACTCACGGATTGGTAGAATGGGCGGCATGTACTGGTGCGATGATGTGAACCGTCCCAGGAGATGCAAAGGACAAAAGAACGCAAACGAGAAGAGTCTTGCAGCGATGCTCTCTGGCGCAGATCGGCCGCACGTCTCCGGTCCTCCGAAGCCAGACAAAGAAGGCTGGACGTGCTTTTCGGCTCTGCCATGTCTCGGCTCGACATGGGAGTTTCCGAAAATTAGGGGTACCCTATTTCGGGTCCTTATAAAGGATCCTACTACTTAGGGTACCATATTATGGTCCCCTATTTTCGGGAACTCCCATATGGACTGAAGCCGCAACAACAGAGCAAGCATCTGCAGCCACATGTGGTTCAAGCCACCCATGTTTGCTGACCTTGACATGGCACAGCCGAAAAGTGTCATGAGCTGGGGGTTTCACCATGATTGGCTCGTGGACCCCAGCGAGGAGGTCTGGTGTGTCTATGACATTTAGCACCCGGGCACGAAGGACCTGAGATCGAATCTAATTTTGCAAGAGAATGGGGAGCTGCGGTGTAGAATTCCTAGTATCAGTTTTGCGCCGCCACGCGTTGTGGCCACGTCTACCTCGTGTACAGCATGGCCCCGAGGTGCGCCTTGCCGGGGTCGGCAAAGCCGCAGCTGACTGAGTCTAATAAATATCAACCTGAATCTAATTCAGTATCAACCAGGTTTGTGAAGCTGGTCACATGATGTTACTTCTGATGCGAGCATTGGCGCCCACGTTGAAGTATCACGATCATCGCAGTCAAACCAGTACCGTCACCGCCTCATGACGTTCGTGTTGATATTGATTTTGATGATGGTGGCGTTGTCATTGTTGTTGATGATGGTGAGGACGATGATGCAAAGTTCCCATCAGCATAATAGCTGACGTTCACTGCTATCAACGTCCACATGGATCATGGCTGCTATATACAAATATTTTCGTCAGCAGCAGGATGTCTCAGAGTGATGACCATTGTCATCGCCGTCACCTTCGTTATCTCTGCTACTTGTATCCACAGACATCACCTGTTGGTGCTGCTCCACCTCCTGCACGCCGTTGACGGCATTTTGTTTCTGTCATCATTGACACATTCAGTTGCATGAGCCTTGTCAGGACGTGGAAAGTGGTGGGAGGCCGTGCCGCCTGGCTTGCCCGTGTTCACGACGCTTTGTGACATCTGTCGACAGAAGCCAAGACTCAGCCAAAACTTGGGAGTGCCACATAGCAGTAGCCCTGCGGAGGTGGAAGTGCTGGCGGCATTGTGGTTCGGTCCGGCCAGAAGCTGGCCTCTGATCAGCTTGCCGATCGTTTGGCGACGGGAGCTCTTGTGAAGGCAAGCTGCCGTGACTGCCGTGTAAGCAGACTTAGCTGTTGAACCGTGTTGCAGGTCATCGTGCAAAGACCAGTTCAGTCTAAAAGCTCTTTGCCCAGGCCGCTAAGCAGTTTGGCTCAGCTTTGCCTCTAGATTTTTTGAAAGTCCCAGAGAAAGCATGGCATCCAAGTCCACTGCTTCCATGGGTCTTACCCTGGGCGCAATTGGCGCGGCCTCCCTTTGGGCACCCGCCGCGGTTCAGGCCTTCGTGGCGCCATCAGCATCTCCTTCGGCACCTCAGCTGCGTGGCGCGACCGAGGCCAGCGAGAAGAGTGCCAGCCCAGCGGGCCAGGCTGCTGCCGCCGCTGTGGGCACTGCTGCCCTGGCTCTGGCCGCCACTGGACGCCGTCACCAGCGCGGAAACCTAGCACGACGGGCTGAAGCCACTGGCGTCACCGACGAGAAGCCCTTCGCCGGTGGTCTGATCGGTGGTGAGTCTGCCTTTGCGGGCCAGGCCTTCAACTTCGATCCTCTCGGCCTGTCTGTCAAGTGCGAGAAGTATTTGCCTTGGTTCAGAGAGTCTGAGCTCAAGCACGGCAGGATCGCATTAAGCTTTCAGATTCTGCTGTTGTTGTGCTCTCAATCGTAGTGACCTCTGCTGCCACCTTTTCAAAGTTCTCATGTTATGCTAGACTGCGAAACTGCGGTGGGTTGGAGCATTCACGACCTTCTTGCGTTATCTCCTTTCATCGACCCCTGTCCAGGATCGCCATGCTTGCCTTTGTGGGTTTGGTTGTGCCCGAAATTGTGCGCATCCCTGGCACTCACCCTTGCTATGCGGCCAAGACTGTGGTGGAGGCTCACAACGCCTGTGCAGGCAATCCCCCTCTTCCTTTCATCATCAATGCCGAGAATTTCTTCGGCACGGAGGACCAGACGGGACCCCTGTTCCAGGTGTACGCTTTCTGTGGCGCAGCCGCCTTAGTCCAAGGTGGTTCCAAGCCTTTGAGAATTCAACTTGCATCTTGTAGCCGCTTGCTTGTGTCCTCGTGCCTGGTTAGGTCATCGAGATGTTGACCACCTTCGCCAAGTCGTGCAATGTCTCGAACAAGCCTGGCCTCACTCTCGAGAATGCGGGTGACTACCAGCTTGGCACAAGCTTCCTTCCGAGCGACCCTGCGAAGGTCAAGGAGATGAAACTGAAGGAGTTGAAGAACGGACGCCTTGCAATGCTGGCTTTCGGCGGAGCCATCACGCAGGCCACCCTGACAGGCAACGGCTTCCCCTGGCTCTATGCCGAGAAGGAGTCCACCTGCGCACTCAGCTCCTCTGTCTCCCCAGCCATGGGCTCTCTTGCCGCAGGCCGCAGCAGGAACCAGCGTGGAGCAGTGGCCAGACAAGCCGGCTACAAGATGAGCGCAGCTGTTCCCTTCCTTCCCATGTCACCAGCTTTGGAGGGCATCCCCGGTGAGGAGGAGGGCTTTGACCCGATGGGCTTCTCCTTGGCTTTCGAGATTGGTTGGCTTCGTGAAGCGGAGCTGAAGCACGGCCGCGTGGCAATGCTTGCAACTGTCGGATGGATCACCACGGACCTCGGACTTCGAGTTCCCGGTGATGCTTTCCAGGTTTCTACCATTGAAGCTCACGACGCCATGGTGAAGTTCGGAGGAATGCCTCAGATCCTCATTTGGTGCGGACTTTTGGAGGTCCTTGGACTCTTCGCTTACGTGAACATGCGGGAGGGAAAGACGGATCGCAAGCCTGGAGACTTCGGTCTTCGCGGCTTCTACCCCCAGGATCCGAAAGGCCAGTATGAGATGCAGGTGAAGGAGCTCCGTAACGGTCGCCTGGCGATGCTCGCATACTCCGGCATCGTGACCTCTGCCGTCCTCACACAGGAGAAGTGGCCTTTCTTCGATGTGGTGCTCAATGCAGTGAGTGATGAGGCAAGGAGCGGCTCCGCCTTCTGTGGAGCCGCGGCGCCCGGCCCGCGGGTCAGCCGAACCGTCCGTGAGGCCTCTTCCAGCAAGAGCCTGCCTTTCTTGCCGAAGCCTCAAAACCTTGGTGGACTGATCGGAGGTGAGGCCGAGTTCGATCCTCTTGGCTTTTCTGACCTCATTGACATCAAGTGGCTTCGGGAATCCGAGTTGAAGCATGGCCGCGTCTGCATGCTTGCAACAATTGGCTTTGTTGCAGAGCAGTACTGGCAGCTGCCAGGTTTCGACGCTGCCCCGGATGCTCTGCAGGCGGTTTACACCGCTCCCCTGAACGCCACTGGGGTACTGCTGTTCCTTGCTGGCTACATTGAGAGCGCTTCCTATGGCGGCAAGATCACCATGCTGGACATGTTCGAGGGAGACGGGGCCAAGCGGGCACCTGGTGACCTGGACTTCGGCAAGCGATTCCTCCCCCAGGACAAGGCAGCTGCCGACGATCTCGCGCTCAAGGAGCTTACCAATGGACGCCTGGCCATGTTGGCCATCTCAGGAATGATCCACCACAACCTCATTGTCAAGGGCCCCCTCTTCCCTCTCTTCCCCGAGGGCTACGTGGGACCGCAGGGCTCTTGGGACCTGGACAGCGTGGCTGGCGCCCTCAACAGCGGCCGCATGGGTCTCTGAGCGCCCCAACAGAAAGGCGACTGTAGCTGACAGATGAACGTCCACTAGGGATGTGCAGAGCTTTACCAACCTGCTGAGCAAAGGTTTGTCCTTGCATGCCTGCTCGATGTTCTTGCAATATCTGCATGAAGCAAGACTGCGTGGGATTGAGACGGCAGGAGCTGAAGCTAGAAGGTGACCGGCTTAACTTCGAGCTGGTCTCCGGCAAAGGCCTGCAAGAACAGACCCCTCAGGCTTTATCACAGCCACGTGCTCTACCGGCAAGTAAGTGCACATTAGCTATCCCAGCTCACACTGCCACAACAAGGCCACGGAGCTGAGTGTACAGGTCCGGAATCTGGCTGGGTCAGCTTGAAGCTCAAGGACAAGGAGCCTCCTTTGGCCTGCTTTTCACCTCATCTTCACTGGGTCGGGATTGGCTGTGACATGATGGGACGTGGCAAACTTCCATACCAGCTCCATGTGCAGGACTTACTCGTCGAGGTAGATGCCGAAGGCAACACAATTGCCAAGGCGGCTTCCATTCCGAGCTGCTTGTATCTGAGCTTTGTTTACGAGCAAGATGTGGCTTCAATAAGGATGCATGTAACGTTCTCATACATTGACTAGTCAATGAGCGAGACTACACATGCGCACTTGTGCAGTCGCTGAGTCTCACAGAATCCCTGTCCTTTTGCACGTGTTGTCTCATTCCTGGGCCCGCGTCTCCATCCGCGAAGCAACTATGGGCTAAGAGTCTGGGTTCTTGGGCCAATTCTACGGGCGTGAGCTGCGAAGTGGTTTGGTGCAATGATATGACTTTGGTTAATGCTTGCGCAAGCATCCAAGAGCTTTGGGGAGGACACCTTGAAGAAAAAATCCTGGGCGTCTTGGCTGTACTGTCC